ATCAGGCAGACAGCAAGTTTTTTGACTTTTTCCAACTTTTTAGCACAAATAACAAACAAACAAGCCTAGGCTCTGATAGAACTGATGGGTTTTGAGCATTCTAACACTTCCTAAGTGTACATGCAACCCTAATAACCTTGGATCTCTGTTTGTCTAATTATCATGCAAAGTTGAATTCCAAAGTTATATTCCTATCTAGCATACATGGGGAACAATTTTTAATTTGAATGAAAGATAGAATAACCTACCTTGTTGTTGCTTATGTTCCTTGAAACCTTGTGAGCCTAGCAACCCAAGTGTGATGCCTCAAATGCTTCACACAACACCACATGCTCTTGGAAAGACTTTTGAGAGAATACACACTTCTTGAAATCGGCCTAGCCCTCTTGTTTCATATGTGTAGCCGATTTTGGTGGAGAATGTGATTCTTATATAGTGTTGACACATCTAGGGTTACACCATGTAAACCCTAATGTGTCATGACTCTTCATTTCCATGACCCATGGGTTTGTAACTCCCATGGAGCATCCATGGAGCATCCTATGGGTGGAACCCAACTTGATAATCCATGGAGCCTCTTAGCCCATTATACAAGATATGAATGATTTACATAATCAACCCATATATTTAATTAGTTATCTTTTGATCACTTAATTAATTATAAATTAATTCTTGATCAAACTAATCAAATAATATTATTAATATATTAGAACTTATAATATATTAATAATCTCCAAGTGTTATTTCTCTCATTTAGTCTATCCAATTGCATGGTGCCATGCAACCCAAATGGACCATGCCGGGTCGGGTCAAGTACGTACCAGAAATAGTTATGGACTTAGACACCTTATCCAACAGAAGGAACTTGTAACATTGGCTCTCAACTTGAGAAGGAAACTCTTGTTGAACCGATTGACGAGTCCTTACCTCTTAGACATTCCAGTAGAATCAGTGTTCCATTTATGTTATATGGTTTTCATATAACAAGTGAGGGTGATACGTTTATTAGTGATAGTACACTAATAAATATAGATGAACCTAATAGCTACAAGGAAGCCATGGTAGGCCCAGAGTCTGTGAAATGGACAGAGGCTATGGATAGCGGGATTCAGTCCATGTATGACAACCAAGTCTAGAATTTGGTTGACAATGTTCCAAGTCGTAAGATGGTCGGGTGTAAGTGGATCTTCAAGAAGAAGACCAACATGGATGGGAAGGTGCACACTTATAAGGCACGATTGGTTGTGAAGGGCTTTACTCAAACTCCCAGAGTTGACTATGATGAGACCTTCTCACCATTTGCGAAGCTAAAGTCGATTAGGTTGATGATAGCTATAGTTGTGTTTCGTGATTATGAAATATGGCAGATGGACATCAAAACCGCTTTCCTTAATCGGAAGTTGGATGAGGATTTTTACATGAATCAGCCAGAGGGTTTTGTCGATGCGAAGCATCCTAGTAGAGTGTGTAAGCTTGAGAAATCCATTTAAGGATTGAAGCAAGCGTCGCGCAGATGGAATCTTTGTTTCGATGAGAAATTCAAAGAGTTTGGCTTCTTGCGAAGCGAGGATGAATCATGTGTATATGTCAAAGCTAGTAGGAGTATAATTAGCTTCCTCGTATTGTATGTCGATGACATACTACTCATAGGGAACGACATCCCAACCTTGCAGGAAGTCAAGTCCTGGCTCTGGAAGTGTTTCGCTATGAAGGACCTCGGAGAGACTACCAATATTCTCGGAATAAGGATATTGAGAAACAGGAGTAAAAGACTAATAGGACTTAGTCAGAATACTTACTTGGAAAATGCACTAAAACTTTTAAGAGGTTTTACACTTGTAACACTAAGCTTGTGGTGTTTGTAAGCCATTAGAGGTGTTACACTCGAAACACTAAGCTTCTTGAAGATAAAACATTCTTACAACTATTGTAATGTATCATCTAAACTTGTTTTATTCTAGATATCATTTTAATAGTATGCTAGATTAGGGTTTCAAGTCTTTTATGAATTGCATGTACAATAGAGAAACCTAGATCCAAGCTTTAGGGTTTTGCATGTGCACATAGGAATGTTCTTTAGTGATTAACCCATCACTTACCTATAGCTATTAAGAAATTGTGTTTCATCACTACTAGAATATATGCCTTTAATGACACGCAATTTACGATACGCATTGATTTATGTTACGCAAAAGAGAGTGTTCTTAAAATAGTGTCATCTCTTCAAAAAATTTAAGGATTTACGTCACGCATTATTCTGTGCCTTTAAATTAGTGTCTGAAGAAAAAAAAAATAAAAACACGGAGGGGGCTTTATCTTAAACGTGCATTGTCTGTGCCTATCGCTTTATAATTTTAATGAAACACGCTTTTTAATAGAAAAGGGGGGAAATGGAATCCATAAAAATCAAAACCCCCGCCTGTTCGATCCTTTCTCAGCCATCGATGCTAATCTTTGAATTAGCAAGAAAGAAGCCCTAAGGATCGACTTCATCTTCACCCACCTCCAGTGCCTCCAACCCTAGTCCTTCATCCAACACAACTCGAGTTTCTCTGTATGAAAGCCTCCAACTACATCCTCAATGTGAAAAAAAACCTAATTGGCGGCCACATTTTGACATCAGGTACCCTTGGAATGAAAGCCTTCTTTTTACATCAGGGTCCCCTTGGGATCTTCTGTTAGGGATGATTGCTCATATTTAGTTCATACATCCCCTCTAACCAAATCATTAGCTTTGAAAAAAAACTTTAATCTTCTGTTCGTTCATCTTGGCGGCTAGAGAGGGAATTGTTCAATGTTTTTGTGTGGGGCTGTCGGATTTTTGAGTCACCGTCGAGGGAAGAGGAATTTGAGACAAACTTTTCTCCAGCCTAAGGTATCAATTCCTATTATTTTCTTCTCCTTCTTTTCTGTTTTCCCCGCCAAGCACCACTTACCGCCATGGTCGGCAGCCTAGGTTGTCGACGTGTTTCTATGCCGCCACCCTCCACAATTAGTTGGTTGTGTTTGTATATGTGGGTGCTTTAATGTGTATAATATTCAGGTCCTTCACAAAAAACAACAGTTTTCGGTGTGATAGCTCTCTCTCTCTCTCTCAAGAATCAAATTGCTAGATAAAGGTTTGAGATGTTGGCTTGAAGGACAGAAGAGGCGGCGACGGTGGCTCCAATGAAGGAAGACGCCAGACGGTGGTTGTGGGGAATGAAGATGCAATGATGGTTGGGTTTAACCCTTTAGATTCTCTTCTAATCCTTCTAAGGCTCTATCATCATCGATTATTTTCTCTCCCTTTTGTCTATCTGTTTGTATGGCCTCGCGTTTCTCATCTCCTTCCTCTTTTCCCCTATATAACTTTTCTACTACTTTTCAATTTACAGTTCTAAGTTTCCCCCAAAAAAACTACAAGATCTTGATCACAATGACCTCTTTTTCTTTCCAGTTTAGTTTTACCTAAATCAGATGCTTATATATATGAAGAAGGTTTCTCTAGTTAGTTCTAGTGTGAGATTTGTATGATTCTTTCATGGCAGAAGCTCTTCTCCATGCACTTGCTGCTCAGATAGGTGAGTTCGACTTTGATTGTTCTTGATTTATGTCACTGGTTTGCTGTTTTTTTTCTTCAATTAGGTTTTACATATGTGTATGTCTTTGAAAGTTCTTTTGGTGTATATACAATAGTGAAAGGATTGAGAAGGATTGGTCATCTTCTGTGCACTGCTATTTGTACTAGAGAAAAAAAAAATTCTTTGTTTCAATATTTGCAGTGAATGAATTATGGAACATTTGTATTTGTAGTATTGTAACAGTCACAAGAGCCACTTCTTTTAGTATCTTTTTTTCTTTAGTTCAAATTTGAATAATTGATGTTGACAATTAATTTTCTTCTTGAAATTTGTTTTCCTGGTCTTGGCTTCTCCTTTTTTACTTGTCTATCTTAATCAAGTTAACCGTTATAATGAAGATATCGATCAAATACTTTTAGAACTGTTGTAGCTAACATAAGATTCTTCTTTTCTTTGTTGATTATTATATTATATTTTTAGTTTCTCATTTAATTATCTAAGCAGATAAATCTCTTTCGATTTAGGGTTGGTGCTAATGCTTAATATATTATATTGGAGCTATATGCACAAGGGAACATACTCCTCACTGGTTCTGAATCATGCTTATGACTCTTCTGCGTTTACACAGGTTTAAATCTTGATTCTTTTGTTGAATTTCAGTATGTTACATCATTACAAATACTTTTTATGAATAAGTTACCAACTCACTTTATTTATAGATGATAACAAATGATGTGTAATCATGGCACACCATCAATTGAAATTTGCGAAGTCTTTTAGCAGACAGATAGTGTAAAATTATTGGCAACTCTTACTTCTTTTAACAATCAAGTGAGATCTTCAAAGCCTTCGAGCAGACAGATGTTTTAAGTCCAAACTTGAAAGTTTCAATTTTTTTCTTTCTATTCAATAGTTATTTATTATTTAATTTTACCAGTTATCAAATTGCTCTGTTTGGTGTATCAAGTGCCATTGGAATCTGCTCTCAGGTTTGCATTGCCCCAATACCTATCTGTAACCATGCTCATGGTTTGTAAAACAAGAAGGAACCTGTAAAAAGCTTCCAATATAGTACTCTTCAAGTGGAGATGAAAGTAACATAGGATGTGATGTTACTTCCAATCTAGTACTTTTCAAGTGGAGATGAAAAAAAGCTTATGTTTTGAATTTTAACATCGATATAGTTTTATCAGTATTGATCTTTATAAAGTTGAATGTGGTTGGGAATATTTATAAATTTGCATTGAGTTTGAGGTTGAAATAAGTAATCTTTACTTCTTGGCTCTTGCATATGGAAGGATTTATGTTACCATATTCTGAGTCAACTCGAATCTTGAAAGACAAGGAAGTTATTTGGTCGGCTTAATTATACAAACATGTAACTGGCTTTCTAACAAGTGGACATATGTTTGTTACTTTAGTGTGAAAAGAGAAGAAATGGCTTTGAATGAAGCAATAGAGAAAGCATATGTTGATAATTTGGTTGACTATGTAGAAGTCAACAGGAAGGAACCTGTAAATAATGGCATGCTGCTGCTTCTACCAAAGGAAGAGTTAGAAGATGAAGCTTCACTTATAACAACTTCCACAAAATGTAGGGGCTCAAGGTAAGTGACGCAATCTTTCTTAATACTTATGGTACACTAAGGGTCTATTTTGTTTGGATTGAATATGATGAAAAATGTATTGGAATTGTTGATTACATTGCATAATTCCATTATCTTGCTTATTCCATTACCATGTACCTGTTTATTGCATTTCTTCATCGTTTAATTCCATCCAACCAACACCCATTTCACTCATGAAGTTGAAGGGGGTATGATGGTCGTTTTCTCACTTTAAGGTACCATTTATTTTATGATCTTGTAGGGAGAGTTCTACAACTATTCAGGATGTGGAAACACCTTCAACTGCAACCATCCTATTGAACTGCAAACATCTTATTGTGCGCCAATTCATAGTATATTCCTTCAGGTATATAAGTTGCTACTTACCTATCCCCTGTTTTCTGTTTTTATTTCAAGAGTAAATTACAATTTTGCTCCCTAAGTTTAGCACTTACTTAGTTTTGGTCCCTAAAGGAATTTGTTTGGAAGACATTGCCCTTATTTTATTGTTTCATAACGATTTTGATATCTGGAGCATTTAATCTAACACCCAGCTGTTGATATTTTTTCAACTGACCATCTTTCTATTTGACCAAAACTGCAAATTTATAGTGTTTTGTTAGTTTATACTTTATAATAAGGTTTATAACATTTTATCTGTGCATATGATTTATAAAAGTTTTTGGTCTATACTGTATATTGAAATAATTTGTTAATATAGCAAATTTGAATTATTTTTATGTTAATATAACTTTTCTATTTTAAAATCTATGTTATATTGTTAACAATGTTATATCTTGACAACAAGCAATAAAGATAAAATTATAAATTCAAATTGAATGGGGTTCAAAGCCGAGGCCAAAATCATTATGAACATCAAAATAAGGACCAAAATTGCTAACAGATCCCTATAGGGACCAAAACCGAAAAAGAGTGCTAAACTCAAGGACCAAAATTGTAATTTAGAATCATACATGTGTTCCTGATTCTTGGTAAATTAAGTTTTGCTTTATGAAACCTTCCTACAGATATTGGGTAACAGAGATGCATGTCGATGGATTTCGGTTTGATCTTGCCTCTATCATGACAAGAGACAGCAGGTTATCAGTTATCAGTTATCTTAACAATATTTGAAAAAAAAAAAACAACATTCATTTGTATTTTTTTTTAACTTTTTTCTTTCAGCCTTTTTGATGCAATAAATGTATCTGGAAATCAAGTAGAAGATGATTTACTAACAACTCGCTCACCTCTCACCAACCCACCATTAATTGACATGATTAGCAATGACTCAATACATCGAGGAGTGAAGATAATCAAAATTGATTATCTATTAAACTTATCTTTTTAAATTATTAATTTTAAGTTTTAAAATAACCATTAAAACTTTTAATTTTTTTAAAAGAACCAACTTTAACTAAAAATTTTCCAATTAATTATTAGTGTTGTTTAAAAAAAACAAACAAACTATTAGTGGTCAAACTGTAAAAAAAAAAAGTTAAACTATAGTGGTTTTTATGAGATTTAGGCTTAGTTATTTATTTATATAATAATTTGTGACAATGATTGTTGGCAGGTGGGCATCTATTTTCCTTGTTATGACTTTTTGTGCAATTATATGGAAGAATATTCATCAAAAAATGCAGCAAGCATGACTCCTTATATCCCACTAGTTGCAGGTTCTGTTGCCCGTTCACTTGCTTGTATTACTTGTTATCCTATTGAACTTGCAAGAACCCGTATGCAGGTAATCATTGTATCCTTAGAGGCAAATCTGATTTTGCAAGGCTGCTTCTTACAAGGTTACCTTTCTTTTACACACTTTTTAAGTTTTATCTATCAAGTATCAATCAGTTACTTGAGAGTATCAATCTTACATTTATATTTATTTGTGTTATTGTTTTTCCCAGCTTTCTGGTGTTGGTGTCAAGCTTGTTGGCAATACAGTGTGGAGTACCCTCTTTCATCAATTCTTGATAGTGATGTCACGTGAGAAATCATTTTTCTTTTGTTAAACAAGTCTTTATTATCATGTATTAGATCAAACCATGGGTAAAAACAGCCTTGCCCCTGGTTCAGGGGTTGTCACAAAATACTTGCTCCAGAGGTAAAATAATGATTTTGTCCTTGGTTATCTTTTAATCTCTTTGCCTTCCATTTTTATAACTTTCCTCATGTATACAGTGGCCTGCAAAAGTACTTGGACTAGCAGGGATTCAGCATAGTGGGATATGGTTGCACTATATGTAGTAAATTACAAAAATTGTCCCTGTAATTTCTGCTTTTTCCTTGTTTAGTCCAAACATGAAACTTTTTTTTTCCAGTTTTAGTCCTTATTTCAGCGTTCCAGGGACCAAAATTGAAAAATAAATGTTCCAAGTTCCAATTTTGGAGTGAAACAAAGTAAAAATCAGAAATCATAGGGATCATATTTTTAATAAAGTAATTTATTTAACTGTTGAGAACATATTTGTTGCAGATACTGTTGCTGTAGCTGTGCTTTCGGGAAATAGAAACTTTGAAGGGCGTGTTCACCCACTAACAAGATCCAACTACCTGGCTTCACCTCCCTTGGTTGTAGCTTACGCACTTGTCTGCACGGTATGTGTAAAATTACTCTTCTACCCTCAAAGAAACACACAACACAAATTCATATCATGTTTTACATGTTGTGTGTTTTAGGTCGACATCGACTTCGAAAACAAACTAACGAGACCACAAAGGACGGAAAGAATGGCCAAGCACCGAAGAAATCACTCAGGTATATATGTGTAAAACCTTCTGATTTTGTTGACTTTTTAACTTTGTTTTTGGTTTCATTTAGTAATAAAGTATCAAATATCAACAGTTATGTGGTAGTAATCCTTCTGAGGGGGTGTTTGTTGGGCTGCTTCTTCCAATGTCATTAACAACAGTGGTAAGTAAAATCTTGGCTGCTTTTTTCAATGTCATTAACAACACTGGTAAGTAAAATCTTACTATTATGAAACTCTTTTTCTTAAACCTACCTTATTGACATGTAGCTGATTATACATTACTTTAATTATGCAGGTTTTGAAGTTTTTGATGGAAAAGAACAGTGTTAATGCTTTTCATAGAAAAGTATGTTGGTATTTTAGAAAATTTGGCTAATAATTTAGTTAATTATATAAAAAATGTTGAAATGTTACATTTGTCTACTATTGGAATGATTATTTGATGTATTACATTTGTCTACTATTGGGATGATTATTTGTATGACATTAACTTTTGTGCAATGTATTGTATTTTTCGTATATGGTATTTTATTTTCTATTATGAGACATGAAATGCAAATTTAATTTGAAAATCGGTAAATCTATAAATATATATTTTTTAAATAAAATAAAATTACGTTACGCAAAAATGTGTATCGTCTTCATTTATGACATGACCTTTCTTAACAGGGGCTTCCATGATACGCATTGCGTGTCATAAACACGTACGTCGTAAGGTTACGACACGCAAATGTGTGTCGTCTTCCTTTATGACAAGGCCTTCCTTGATACGCATTGCGTGTCATAACCGCGCGTCATAAATGCGCGTCGTAAATGCGCATCGTCTATAGACGACGCGCAAAAGCACGTCGTCTCTCTTTATGACAGGGCCTTCCTTGACGCGCATTTGCGCGTCGTTTGAGCATTGTACGACGCGCAATGAGCGTCGTAAAAGGCTATTTTTCTAGTAGTGATGGTCAGAAAGTATGTTGTATTCTGAAGAAAAAAAAATAGAAAACTTTTTTTTAAAAAATAGTTTTTTAAATATGAATTGTTTTTTATAAAACCTTTTAAAATTATGAGTGACTTTTTTGAAAGAAGAAAATAGCACCATTTTAATTGTAGAATATATAGCTATTTTTTTCTAAAAACCTTTTAAAATTATGAGTGACTTTTTTGAAAGAAGAAAATAGCACCATTTTAATTGTAGAATATATAGCTATTTTTTTCTAAAAAAATATTTTTGTAAATGTAATATGGATGGGTGGTTTGGGCGCAACAAATCATAAGACATGTTAACCGTTTTACTTAATTCAATATGTCTAGTGGAATAATCATAAATTTCAACAATTATTCAAAAAAATTTAAGAAAATACAATCTCAAATATAAATCAATTGTCAGAGTAATTAAAAATGTCTAAATTCTAAGCAACTTGACTTTCGTTTTCGATATCCTTTATAATAGTAAAAATACTAATATCATGTATTTCAATACATAGAGTATAACAATATATATAATTTATCAATGTACGTATGTGTAACGCCCGCAGATCCGGGCTAGTCAATTTTGAGGCAATAAGTGTCGAAAATGACTTTTCGACAAAAGATTATTTAGAATAAATAATCTTAACCAAGTTGTAGAATAGGTCTAAAGTTTCCGTACATATAAAGAACGCAGAAATCCGAGTTATAACGAAGAAGTTATGACCCGTCGAAGTTTTATGGCAAAACCGGCACGGCACCGGGAAGCGTAAATAGTAAATTTATGATGGAGCGACTTTTAGCCTTAGAAATCTAAACGAAAGTTGTAGTATATGTTAAAACAAGAACATACAAAAAAAGAACGCCCAAATCTGACTTCGTATGAGGAAGTTATGATTTTTCTAAGATTCGGTTTAGTAGTGCACGACCCGAAACTCGAATTTTAGTTCGAGCGGTTTTTGGCTTAAGCGACCTAAATGAGAGTTGAAGATCTCATTAATAGGAACTCAACGGTAAAAAGATAGACGAAAATGGAGTCCGTATGAAGGAGTTACGAATTCTTCGCGGTCATTTAACAGTCTAAACGCCTCCTACTGTTAAATTTGAGATCGGTCGAGATTTAGCCGACAGAGTCTAAATGAAAGTTGTAGATCTTGATTTTACCTACGCGTTTTAAAAAAGAACGTCAAAAACGAAGCTCGTATGCGAGAGTTATGCTTTTTCTAAGTTTGAAGGCTGATACGCGATAGGGGGTGACGTGGCACCACCAGAATTGGACACGTGGCACCACCAGAAGGCCACCACATGCACCAACTCGACGAGTAGGTCCCCCTACTCGGCGAGTCCATCAGATTTTTTTCACTATAAATAGAGGTGCTGGGTCTAGCCTCTTCTTCACACCTCCCAAACCTTCTTTCTCTCTCTAGTTTCTCTCTCTAGCCTCCCAAACCCCCCTAAAGCCTAGGTAAACCCCCTAGCACCCGAAGGAAGCCCCGAGGCTCCCGAAGTCCCGAGAAAAAGGGTCTTTCGGTTCGGAAACACTGCTCCAGCGAAGCCCGGTTTTCGAGAAAACCCGCTGTAAGTGAGCTACGCCTACCCTATCTTTAGCGTAGCTTATGTTTCAATATAGTAATGTTATTAGGTCTTTAAAATAATTATTTGGGATATTATTATGAGTTATATTGAGTGTTATTGAACGCTTATATAATAATAATAATAATAATAATAATAATAATAATAATAATAATAGCTTGACTATTAATTAGTCGCGGTTATCGTTAGACTAAACCCTGGTGGTGTTGATACTAGGTTTAATCGAAGGAAATTGTTTTGAGAGTATCGAAGCGCTGTCCGAGTGCTAAGTCACCACCTTTCAGGTGAGTGCATAGTCCCTTTCATCTTACACATAGATATGAAGTATTTTACATAAACTACGTGCTATGTGTGTATATTATCTGAATACTTGCTGTCTATGCTGGATGAACGTTTTTATTCATGTTTTAAATGTTTTAAACTGTATATGAATTTTATATCTACGAATATGTTGGGTATGACATGGGTAGATGAATGATGATAGATACAAGATGATGTGAGTATACATTGGCAGCTATAGACTTAGTGCCTATGGGACAAACACCGGTAGCTATGGACTTAGTACCTGTTAGACGCTGGTAGCTATGGACTTAGTACCTGTTAGGAATTGGTAGCTATGGACTTAGTACCTATTAGTTAGATGCTGGTAGCTATGGATTTAGTACCTGTTAGGAATTGGTAGCTATGGACTTAGTACCTAATAGATAAACACTGGTAGCTATGGATTTAGTACCCGATGAATAAACTATAGCAACTGTGGAATTAGTGCTTTATGAACAAACATTGGTTGCTATGGATTTAGTGCCAGTCCTATAACCCTGGAAGTAAGGGACTTCGGAATAAACGAATGCAGGATAGATGACTCTTAGGATAAATCCTTAAGAGTAAAGAAGATAATGGGGATGGGTAATTGGGTTGATTGTTTGATTGTTTAAACATAATAATTATATTATTGTGGGTTGAAAACCCTATGTACTCACCAAGTTTCCCAACCTGATCCACTCAGTTTATTTATATCACAGGTGTTGATATGAAGTTACATTACATTGAGAGATTTAAAGAGATGTACATCACTAGTGTAAATAAATGTAAGTTATGTTTATGCTTATTTTCTGTATTAACGATGACATCCCAAATGTTTTAAAATGAATAAAATACGTTTCTTCGAAAATGTTTTAATAACATATTTATCGTGTTTTTCTGGGAACAAATTCTGCAACATTTTTATTAAAAGAAGTACTCTGATTTTTATAAAGCATAAACAAAATCAGTCTTTTCTGGCCGTGAAAATGGGGATGTCACAATATGTATTCTTTTATAAACAACATATACGATTTAATATATGTCAATTTAGATGTTGCATAATTTTAAAACACATAATTTTCTTACATATAATATTAGGATAATTTTTATACATATAATATTGCATAGTTTTATATTGGTTTCGTTTTTTGTTTTTTTTACCTTCTTCCGGGGGGGGGGGGGGGGTGGCTTCATAGATTTCTTAATCAACAAATGTTCTTAAAATTTGACAAAAATACATAATTTACTAAACCATAATACAAGAGAAAATTTTGTTTATATTTAGTTATTGAACTTTTTTGAGAGAGAAATGAACTTTCAACATTGTTCACATCTAGTCACTAAACCTTTTTTTCATTATGTATTTGCCACTGAACTATTAAACATGTTCACCTTTTACCCTTATGACTGGTAACATACAGGTCATAAGGGTAAAATATGAACAGTTTCAATAGTGCAGTGGCACATAGATAATGAATAAAAGTTTAGTGACTAAATGTGAACAAAATTAAAAGTGCATTACCCTTTTAAGTTATTATCCGATTTAATATTTGGTTTCAAATTGAGAAGAAAAAGAAAATAATGGTTTAAAACTGAGAAGAAAAAGAAAATAATGGAGAGACATCTTTTTTAGCGTTAGATTTTGTAATACTAATAATTTTTTTCTCGTGTGTGTGTGTGTGTGTGTATATATATATATATATATATATATATATATATATATATATATATATATATATATATATATATCCGTAGAACTTGAGATCAAAAGGTGGAGCGTTAGATCAAAATTAACTCATTAAGAGTATGATCGTAATCTTACCAATCTCATTTAATATTTATTTTTTTGTGTTATTGAAAATATTAATACAAAGTTCTAAAAATTAACATAATAAACCAAATTTCGGAATTTTTTAAACTAATTTTTTTTTTTTTTTTTTAAAAATGGAGATTTTTTAATTTTTTTTCAGAAAACATGAATTTAAAAAAAAAAATTGAAAAAAAATATTTTCAAAAAAAAACTATAGTTTTTTCAAATAAAAAACACTGCAATTAAAAAAAACTACATTTTTCTTAGAAAACCTGCATTTTTTTTCCAGAAAAAACTACGATCTTTTCAAAAAAAAAAAAAAACTACATTTTTTTAACAAAAACTGCATTTTTTTCAAAAAAAAAATCCAATTGTTTTTTTAGAAAAACTGCATTTTTTAAAAAAGTAAATTTTTAAAAATCAGTAAACTTAAAAAATAAAACTAGAATATTAAAATAAAAAAAAAAAACTCTAATTTTTTAACAAAAAAATCAATGTTTTAGGTGCATGTATGCATATTTCTTATACTATAATATTCGTAAGTAATCATAAAAAAATCTTATTTTTAATAATCAATCTATAAATATAATAGTATAAATATTTTCTTCATATCAAGATTTTCATATTTTCTTCAATTTATCACTTTTTACATCTTCAAAAATTT